CCCCAATCCCCAAAACCCCAAAACCCCAAAACCCCGTAATATAAAATGTCGTAGAAACATATCAATATATAATGGGTAATAATTGAGCAACTGCAGAGACAGAGTTCGGAAGTATCTTTGTACGTCTAGATCAGAAGGCACCCTACTCTGGACAAATCCTTAACGGGACTGTGTACTTGGAGCTGAAGCAAAACTACCCAGCTCAGAGTGTGAGTGTGGGGCTTGAAGGGTGTGAAGCGTTTGATTGGGGAAAAGGAAAAGGAGGAGGGACTAATCTAAATTTTACACTCAAAAAAGAGCTTGTGAATAAAGCAACTGTGCTATATACTTTCTCAGAAGCAGGAGCTCTGGCTGGACAGTATTCATTCCCATTTCAATTCCAGGTCCCATCTGATCTCCCAAGTAGCTTTTATTCCTTAGGTATTAAACCCAAGAAAGCTCTTGTGAAATATGTTTTTAGAGGTATTCTGAGATCAAGCGAAAAGACCGTCAAAGATCTAACATTTGAGAGTGTACTGCCAATAAACGAAGTTTCTCAAATCTCTCTAAGCGAGATTCATTTGTCTACCTGAGATTCTATAACCAGCTGGTTTGGAATGAAGAAGCATGGAGTAGCAAGCTTAAGCATTAAGATTCCCAAAGACTATTTTACAACTAAAGAGATGATCAGAATAAAGGCAAGCATTGATAATTCTCAATGTGATCTTCCGGTGAAGAAGATCTTTGTTGCTCTCAAGCAGCTGACTGAGAGAAGAAAGTATAATGGAGCATTTGAATCTTTGACTGATACTACAGATAGCTTGATATTACCAATTTGGTTAAATAATTATGAAGAAGTTGGTGCATTTGAATCAACAGAAGGATTCACAAGAGATATCGAAATCAATCTAAAATATGTAACAGGAACCCTTTTAAAGAAAAACTTTGATGAGATATCTGACTATTCAGATAAAGAGATTATGCTTGTTCAAGATCTTCAGGCGTCTTCTAGTGGAAGCTACACAACAATTTCCTATCACATCACTATAAAGTTATGATATGGAATTGCTTCAAGGAGATCTACAAAGATCAGAATCCCAATATTCCTAAAGAATCCCGAATCTGAAACCCCTGATCAAATACATATCCCAGCCGACTTCAACCCTCTCGAGCTCCAAACAGCCTCCCCCATAATCCCAGCCCCTATCCCCTCCCCACACCTCCTCTAGCCTCCACTCAATCTCTACCCCACCCCTCCTCATAAAAGAACCGTATTTATTAACAACTTTTCTCAATCAAATATCTCCCATATGGGGTTTTGGGGTTTTGGGGTTTTGGGGATTGGGG